GCGATAGGCTGAGCAGCGCTTAACGCAGGTGTCACACCACTCAACTACTGACCAGGCAGGGGTACGGGGGGAGGGGAAAAAAAAGTGGGACAGGTTTTAGTTCATGCAGCACCATTAGACTATCTGCCAATACTTTATTAAAAAAAAAATTTTAAAAATTGTGTCCTTTAACATAAGATGATAGGGAAAGGAGAGGGTTCTGCACCCGGTTCTTACCGGATGATAATATGTGGGATGGGATTTGGACATGTGGGCTGAGCCCTAGGAAGTTACACCGATAGGCCTCTTCGTACTGGTCACTGTAGGGGATGATTCGCACACAACCAACAGGCAGCATAGTCTAGAGAAGGAAGCAAACTCGTCAAGAGAAACACTGGAACTAAACAAGTGAAGTACAGTTTTTTCCCCTGACTTCCAGGGCCAGCCAAGACTTGGAGCACTGCTCACGCAGATGCTCCCGATTTGGGGGACCAGAAGCATCTTACTCAGCTTGAAAGGCTCTGCAGTTGCTGAGGACAACCAAGACATCCAAAAGTTGGGGGTTTTTTTTAGGTTTTGGGTTCTTTTTTTGTTTGTCTACTTGCCCCAAACCACACGACTTAACATACATTCTCCACAAGATTACATGTCAGAGACAGGCTGGACTACTATGGAAATATGTGTAATACAATATATGCAGTCAGGAAACAAAGGAAAAGGTTTCTACCCGTAGTACATCAAAAGCAGACTGGACAAGATCCATGTCTCGAGCTTTCCAGATAACCTGGTTCCCCATCAGAACATGCCACGCCAGCATGCGGAATGCTGATGCCCCAAGAACCTGGGAAAAGAAAAAAAAAAAAACCCAAAAAAACAAATTAAAAACCTTCTGCGTTGGTTATGAAAAATCAGTGGAATGTCCAGGTTGCCTTGTCAAAAGCGTGACTGCCATGTAAGAAAATGGCTAGAGCTGAACAGCAGAAATGAACACGAAAATTTAGCAGGTCTTGGGCACAGAGTAGTAGCCCTAAACCACAGCACCAAGATCAAGTATTTCTTTGACAGATGCAAAAGGCGACAGACTGTCATGAAAAGCAATGTTCACCTCCATCTACGGTTTCAAGAACAAACAGCAGCGAAGCACTACTTTGCCAACATGCCTAATCAATGATCCGGTTCAATATCAAGCACAGTGTCATTTCTAGGTTGCTCCGAATTCTTCAGTGCTCTGGCCAGACTGCATCCATCAGCCCCTCGCCGGCCAAATGAGCGGTTTTGGTAAACTGGACACGGCCTGTTTGGAATGGGACTGATCACAGAATCACAGAATAGTAGGGGTTGGAAGGGACCTCTGTGGGTCATCTAGTCCAACCCTCCTGCCGAAGCAGGGTCACCTACAGCAGGCTGCACAGGACCTTGTCCAGGCGGGTCTTGAATATCTCTAGAGAATACTAAACTTCCTTTAGACAATAACAATTTCCAGGTGTTTCTCTGATCTGGGTTATGTTCACAGCAATGATTTAGGCATAGAAGGTGAAACAATATTCTCAGACAAGCCTCCAAAGGCGCACACTTGCACCACAGTGCTGTAGTTCAATAGCTTCAAGTGCTCTAAACTGGGAGACAGTGGAACAAAAGGAGCCTAACGCATAAAGCAGGTGTTTGTCAGGAGCGTGCAGGAAAACAAGCTGCTGTGAAAAAGACCATGGGTCAAATGCACTAAACCTTCCCCCTCAGCCAGGTAACCGGAGCACTAGATAAAAGCTAGATCTCTACAGACCCGTTTGTTTTGTGTGTAAATTTTTTTTTTTTTTTTTACCCCCTGAAACACTTTTTTTTTAAGCCAAAAATAATTGGCTTTGAAAGCAGGTGTTTGTCAGGAGCGTGCAGGAAAACAAGCTGCTGTGAAAAAGACCATGGGTCAAATGCACTAAACCTTCCCCCTCAGCCAGGTAACCGGAGCACTAGATAAAAGCTAGATCTCTACAGACCCGTTTGTTTTGTGTGTAAATTTTTTTTTTTTTTTTACCCTCTGAAACACTTTTGTTTTAAGCCAACAATACTTGGCTTTGAAGATGCTGCACGACCTCTGTATTATATTACTGTTGCTGCTCCTGGCAGGAAGCAAAGTGCAGAATTTGAGAGAAATCATATGATCCCATCCCACATGACCAACGATCACTAAAGGCCCGCGTGATCGCTGAGGAAAGGAGCGTCCCCAGAGACGCAGTTAACACCATGTTACTAGCTGTGTAGGCAACCGTGCTGAACACAGAACCAGGAAAGAAGTGCAGACTACAAGAAATAAATACATCTTTTCAAAAAACGTTACCAGGAGAAAAGACGTTGTTAGCTCATGAATTGAGCATCGGAGTAACTGTGCTCCTCTCTTACCTGTCTCATGTGCCTGAGAGAGCGAAAGACAGACAGCCTTCTGTGAGCTACATTCCAGCTGTTGCAATCTGGCATCAGAGGTGTTTCAGGTGAGCATTTAGACAGCTCCTGCCCTTCCACAACATCTGGCTGGGGAGCAGGCTTTTCTTCCTCAGAACCATCCCAGCCTTCTGACTCTTCTTTCAGGTCTAGCAAAAAAAAGGTAGAGTGGTCACAAAAAATTGCTGCTCCTAAGAACTGCCTCAGAAGAGCTTACACATGTTGGAGCCAACAGATTTCGGCTGTATGTGGGGACACAGAGCTGAGAACGCAGCAACTGAGAGTACCAGCATCCCAGACACACCCACAGGGTCAAGAAGAAATTTGCATTTTCTACAGAACACAAAGTCACATCTCTTGACGAGCTACGCGTTCTCTATTCTTGTTTCAAAGGTCATGGCCAAAGTTTTGAGACAGGTTTTGTAGATTCTAATCTAAATGGATTAATAAAATAATTCAATGCAAGAAAAAATTACAATCCATTAATTTTAAAAATTTTGTAGAAAAATGAGCAAGAAGTCCACGTATTGTGACTGCAAGTTCTTCTGGCGATAAAGATTCATTTGGACAGCTGACCCAGCCAGAGAGAACAATAATCATGATGATGCAACTCTCCCACACCAGTAACAAACACCATGTGTGCACACAGAGAGCCTACGAGGCCAAGCGCCTTGATTTCACATCCCCGTCAGTCATCTCCATCTGGCAGAGCACAGCAGCTACTGCAGAGACCACCACCAAGGCAGTCGAGAGATGGCTGCACTTATGATGCTGATGAAAGGACTTGGTCTTCTACCATCCAAAGCATTCTCAGAGGCTCTTCCAGCTCTGGAAATTTCTCTCTCACCTGCGAGTTTCTCCATCTGAACGAGGGTGTCTTCTGTTGGTGCTCCCTCCAGAAGCTTCTCTGTAAGTCTGCTGCCGCAAGCTTTCAAAAGCCTGGAGACATTAAAAGAAATAGAAATAGCGTTCATTAAGCCTGCTTGCCAGGTGCAAAAATCCAGGAAGAAACTTGGTGCGCTGAGCTCAACAGAAAATACAACCTTTAACCAATCTGCGTTTCCTCTCAACCCGTCTCTCCGTTTTCCTCGGTGTGGTAACTATCAATGCATCTTACAACTGCTGCCACTCCGAGTCACCGAAAGGCCGACCATTTTGCAACTGCTTTGTGCAACACACTGCTCCCCCAGCCAAGTCACATGCCAGTGTCGCAACCCTCTCCGTGGCATCTTTCCAGGGAAGCTGGACGAGCAAGTCAGGCACTGGAGCAACTGGACTCCCACAGATGCACCACCATGCCAAACCTGCTTTCCTCCATACCTACTTTTATACCGCAAAGCCCTTCCACCTAGATAGAGATGGTTTCCATTAGCAGCCACATTAGGAGGTTTACTTCACAGCAATAATAATTTTTTTTTGTCCTAACGGCATCAGCAGGCTGCTGTCTTTCTGTGCTCGACTCCTTCCTATTCAGAGACTACTTGGCAAAGTCCAATTTATTAACTCAAGAAATAAAACACCCAAACACTCAAAGCTCATTTCCACCCGTTCAGAATACGGCAATATTCTCTTCATGAACGAGCTGTGGAAGCCAGAAACACACGTGGCATTACCAAGCGAAGGAAGTATGCAAACATGCCCACAGGTTTTCATCGTTGGTCAGTGACGTTAAGGACCGGGCCGCATTGCCGTTCCGCTGGTGCAGGAAGGGAGTGAAGGCCGTGTTCATCCGCTGGGCACGCTGAGGGCACCCGTACTGCTCTGCTTCAAACACCTGCACCACAGAAGAAGGGCAGTGTAAGAGATTGAAAAAAGATCAAATGCTTACACAAAGCTGAGCCAAAAAAACCCAACAAAAATAAAATGTGAAAAGGGTGCATCACACACAATCATCCAAAATACATTGTAAATTATGGGAAAGTAGAAGGAAGGAGAAGGACATCTTATTCTTAGACTGACTAAAATTATCATTCTGTAACACTTGTGCTCCAAAACCATTGTCCTTCACAACTTTAGTTACTCAAATTTCTAACAGAGCTATTGTCTAGCAGTTAGGACTGTGAAAAGTGTTATGACTGGCTAAAAATGAGAGAGGTGCCCTGATCCTTCCCTCCTACGCTCCCAGACACGCACCGTCCTCTCATCCTTTGTGTCACCCTTAATGATCACCCTGGCTGCAATGAGCTGGACCAGTGTTTTGATTCGTTTTGATTCAGCTGTGCACTGACCTACCTTAAGTGCTTTGCCCTGAAGCTCGTCAATGATGCCTCTAATTTTTCCCAACAAGAAAGGCCAGGAGTTGATGAGGTAAATCCGGTCCATCATGATTGTGATGATGCTGTACCAGCGCTGGAAACCTCGAGCCAGGCTGTCTTTGATAAAGAAGGTGTGGCTGAACACAAAACCATGCTGTTCATCTCCGAAAAAAATAGGGCCTTCACGTCCTGGGCAGACCTGAAGGGGAGGGACACATACACCAAAGCAATTAAGCACATCACACAGCTGAAATAAATTGAATTGTAATAAACTGAACAAAATTTCCCGCTCTTTAACACACACTTGGTAAATAAAAGCAAGCCTTTTTTAGGCTACTATAACAAATGTATGGTCAAGCAGATCTCCAGAGGTATCCTACACACACTACAAAACCTCCAGTTTCACTGTATTTTAAGAACCCAGTCTCTACTCAACTACGATACTGTTGAGAATCCACGAGGGATTCTGCTGATCCTGACACACAAATGCTCATTAATCTGTAAGGTTCTCCCTTCATTTCTATGAGATGCTGAATGTTAATGGTCTACAAAAATGAAATTTCTTGGCACTAAACAACAGATTCCAATGTTTTTACAAAAACAGTTTATCTTGTAAAGAAAAACAACAAAGACAGAGGAGAAAAAACAAGAAAAGGAAATTTTTGGTTTCACAAGGTGAGAGGAAGGAACCCCCACGTCTACCAAAGATCAACCTTAAAAATTACCACCGATCCTGGAATGAACAGACCTGGGTGTCTGTCTTTCCACCTCCATTCCCCCTTGTTTCAGGCTGTGCAGAGCAGCCAGGATCAGCTGAGCGCTGTCTTGGCTTTGAAACGATGCGTTAAGGCCATAAGCAGGTTTCCTCCCCGTACTCCAGGACAGTTACCTCACAGCTCAGACTGCGGACGCAGGCCTGGCGCACGATGCTGAACAGCTGGGGGTGGTTTGGGTGCTGGTGACTGACGTACTTGATGGAAGTTTCTTTGTCGTGGCTGACATATCCAGGATGTCCTCCTGCAAGAGAGCGGCAACCCTGAAGGCAGAAAAGCAAATCCAGCCATAAATGAGCATGCAGTTATCTAAGGTTTTCAAAGGCCTCTGTATATTCCCTTCAAAATGCAGTGAAACACATATAGATAGGAACACAAATAGAAAACAAGAAATATCAGTCAGGGTCAGAATTTGAACCCCGCTCCTCACACAGAACTCTGTGTGACATGCTTCCTCTACTCTTATGCTCATTTTCCACTACTTAATTTGAGCGTGAACTTGGTGTTGGCTCTACAAGTGGTAAAATTCAGTTAACAGTAGCTGTGAAACCAACTAGCCAGAACCTAAATGACAGTAAATAACAAATACCTCAGTAGAAGTACTAATAGCAGACAAGCATGAGAACAACTGAGAAAGTACATCTTCTCTATTATTTTAATTGCTTTTTCATTTTTTTCCTGCTTCCTACTCAATACTGCTCTTAAAATTACTATCAATAAATGACCAGACCTAATCTAATAAAGTAAGTGCTCTTCAACGCTGAGGAAAGCAAAAGAATCACAGATCACAGGGCTTAAAGAGACTTCAAGACACCATCTTGTCAAGGTCTATATGCTCAACAACAGCTCCTTCATCCTCTTGTCAAGGATCATTACAGCTTATGAGGACTTGGAGATATTCTGGTACCAGTCATACAAAATGAGCACAGTTCATGGGTTTTTTTCCTCTCTTAAACAATACAAATTGCATTAGAGGACCCAAGAGCCCTTTCATCAACCCCAGGGCCCCTGATGTCCGCACACAGCGATTTGCACTTGCCTCGCACATGTCTGACTTCTTCGGCCCCGGGCTGCTGGAGTCAGCGCTGGCACCTTCTGCCGGGCTGTGCGAGCGGATCCGACTGCTCATCTGAATGCCGCCTTCCTCCTCCTCCGCCTGCTCATTCTGCCCGGAGATGTCCCCGCTGCTTGCACCTTGGGGAAGCGGTGAATGCAGAACCTCGGTACAAAAGAGGGTGCGAGGACCGTGGAGCTCACAAAAATGGCAGAGGGCAACGATAGCGTTCATAGTGAGAGCTCAGCACATGCGTCCGGCCTCCTGCAGGGAAGGGACAAAGCACACGACACCACACAACGGGTATTAACGCAGCTCCCAGGCCCGGCTGGCGCACCTCCTGCTCTCTGTCCCCCCAGGAGCACTTGGCCTTAAGCGCAGCCCGAGGGACCAGCACCCCTCCACCACGGGGTGCCCCGAACGAGGACCCTGACGGGACGGGACCACAGCACAGCGGTCCCCCCG